CCAGTGGGACAGTGAGCAACTCAGTGTTTTACTCACTGAAAGTCTGTCTGCTGTTCATCCGATTCTTACTAAATCCGATACCAGTCAATTTGATCAAATGACTTACAGATCGATTGGACAGAGTCTGATTAAAAAATTTGAGTCCCTGTTTTGGGGGTTTGTTGTAGGTTAGATTGTGGGACTCAATTGAAGTACATGTGCACACCTCTAGTAATAATGAAGTAATAGTTTAATTATTAGTTCCAGTTAATAGCGGTTAATAAAAGCAGCATGTCGATATGATGTTTGCCTTTGACCCTGGCTTTCAGGTTCTTCCACCCAATTCCTTCCTTTGCTGCTGCTCAGACTTCAACAGATGCAAAAAACTGCTGTCTACGTACTTGCATACCCTAAAATCATCACTCCAAATCCACCTTCAGCCTCCACAGGCATTTGTAAAAAAAAAAAAAAAAAAAAAAAAAACTTTTTCAAATTTTAAATTATTTTTATTATTGCTTTGAAAGCTAGTAAAAAAAAAAAAAAATCTGCCTTTGTAGTTCAGCCTTGTTTTCAATTCCTCTGTATTCCAGTTGTCTTATAAACGGGACTTACCACATTCATGAAGGTTTTCCAGGTCTCTTTTGTTTAAAATTCATTTCTTTTTCCTTTTGTTTTTCCTTTTCCAGCATCAGTGATCCATTCATTTTCAACTTATGTCATAAAGAGCATGTTGTGGGAGATCAAAGGTGTTCCCGTTACTCATATCATGATATAAAAGAGATCCGTCTAATGCGCTTTCTCCTGCAGGTAGGAACTAAAATGCTTGATCATTTGAGTGAAAAGCTGCTGTAGCAGTAGTATTATGTGACTGAAAACTACTTGTATAATTTTCACTACTAAGACTGAGGTTTTTCTGAGCAAAAAACACCCCTCAGTGGGGTGATTGGCCCATTAGTTGTTAGGCTGACAGTATTCCTTACAGTCCATCTCAGTGTTTTTGAAAAGAAGCTTTGAAATCATCTTTGTTTTGACTGAAGTTTCCAGTAAGTGTCTAATTTTTCAGAGATATTGAATTCACAGCACACGATATATGTGAGATGGACAGTTTTAGCAAATGAAACCTACTTCAAGATATAGGGTATGGGGTACTTAAGTGGTTAGGTCATATCCAATTGTGTACGGAAATGTTAAGTCTTGTTATGAGTAACTGTATGAAGCACATTTTCTTACATCACCTGATGAGCAATCAGAGCAACAGAATGGTCACCTCTTCCTCCATTTCTCCTCCAAAGTAGAATCTTATTTTCTTCACATGTATTTGTATGTATATGTGGTTTTTTTCTGAACATGAGAAACGGAAGTGTTTTGTGGTACACAAACTGAAAAATAGAGACATGTGAAAGTAGTCATTGGTTGGACCTTGGGTGAAAATGTGAAGCTGTGCTTCAGATCAAGTGCTTCAAGCTGTTTATTGTCATAGCTGCTTTCATATACCCTTTCTGCTTTATACTTCATTTGTGAATCATGTATGGGCTGTTGTCATTCTGTTGTTTTCTCAGATTTGTATTAGACCTGCTGTCTTTGGATTGAAACTCGTGTCTGGCTTCTCAGACACAGTGCATCATTTATAATTTTACCTGGCTGACTTTGGGGAGAGTGGAGAAGGGACTGATCACTGGGTAAATTACAGGGGTATATGCAAATGACCAACTTAACCTGTGTGGGGATATTGTGGAAAAAGGCTGAAGATGTCAACTTTTCTTATTTAAAGCTTCAGTGAGAAACATCATAAACTCCCCTTCCTCTTCCACTTCTAGTCCAAAATTGTTGGTTACTACTCATTTAGAAAGTTGCACGGTTTCTGTTTGGAAGAAACTTTTACTTAGGATCCCCCCTTCATATTGTTATTTTTGTTACCTATTTAGAAGTTAATACTACTTGTGTTATGCTAATCACACCAAGATTTCGAGATAAAAATGCTTCAGAAGTAGCAGAAGATGTTGGTTGATGGGACCAGTATCTGGGCTTTGGTTTTGCTTCACAGAAGCATTCATAATCCTAGTCAATCCAGTAGAACCATTTCTATAGAGGGAGAAATTGGGAACATTAGGTCTATTTTGCTATGCTTTTTCACACTTACTACAAAGTCATGGTCTTTGTTTTTAAAGCCTTGAAGAACTTGGCAGTCCAGTGGGCCCTTCACAGTACTGATGTTAGTTCTGCACTGCTTCAACCTGCAAATGATTTATCTTTCTAGGAGATCGCCTTAGAAATATTCTTCAAAAATGGTTACTCCAGATTTCTTGTCTTCCATGACTGTGACCGAAAAAAGATTTTTAAGAGGTAATAATTTCATAATACCATGTGAGTGATCTTTGTTTATCTTGGCTTCAAATTTCTGCCTTCGTGCTGTCTCTTTCTTTGATTACAACTTTTTGGTCTTTAATGAGTTACACATAAACACAGCTATGAAACTTTTCATTTGCTGACTTGTGAATTCTTTGGAACATTATATAGTCATTGATTTATCAAGGGAGCTAATGCATCTGTAACACTCTTCTAGCACCTGATGGCGTGGTGTTATATATATCCTTGCATCCCAGAGAAATGCAATTGTAGCTGTGCTGCTTCCTTTCCCTAAAGATTCTTCTGCTCCTGAAATCTCTGAGCATTCTAATGGAGCATTCCTTAAAAAAGCCAATGTGAATTTATCCACTTTTCCTTTCTAAACTGGATGCATAGTATGACTTCTTAAAATTACCAGATTCTGCCCCAGAGATGGTTGCTTTTAGTCCTTCTCTTAGCTGTCTCTTAGCTCTGAAATGCATGTGTTGGAATCATCTTGCTGAGGCAGTTCAAGACAGTGCATTAGTCTTCAACTGCCTGTCTTGCTATTCAGCTGCAGGTTACCAAACCTATGGGTTTAATGTCTGACATTAAAAACAAACAAACAAAAAAACCAACAAAACAAAGAATAAACAAAACAAACAAACAAAACAACAAAAAACCCAAAACCTACTGAAGGTAAAGAGAGGGGAGGCTGATATGTGAGTTGGTTTACCTTTCTGCCACTTTTGCCAGCAGGCTGGTAAATGTCAGAGAGGATCTTTTCCTCTGGGTTTAATTAGTACCATCCTAAGCCACCCGATCGTAAGTCATTACTGATCAATTTAAAGTCCTATTTAGGAAAGCAACTGTTTTTATCCAGCCCACAGACACTTTCTTAACATTAAATGTATGTTTTTGCTGTGTTGTCTTGTAACTTTATTCTGGATTGGTGAAAGGCTGGGACATTCCCTTGCTATAGACAGGGACACCTCTAAATTGGTTTAGTGGGAGGTGTCCCTGCCTATAGCAGGGGGGCTGGAACAAAATGATCTTAAAGGTCCTTTCCAACCCAAACCATTCTATGATTCTGTGATCCTTCATAAGAAAAGTTGCAGTTAAGGTATGATGTTATTTTAATAGGTTATATACAGATATGAAATGATACACATACATCCTCTGTACAAATAACTGTTTAAAAGATTGTTTTGTTATTTTTTTTATCTGTAGATTTTGCTTTTTCCAACCTGCTTTGAAGTCAAAGGGGGTAACAGAGGAGTCCCTGAATATAAGGTAAAAACAGGGGGAACATTGGATAACAGTAGAAAAGAAGAGCAAATATGTGATTAAGTGGTACCTTAAAAACAAACAAACAAAAAAATGGAAATTGGAAACTTAGCTGTTTGTGCTCTCTATTTTAAAGATTCAGTTGTGTCTCCAGAACTCTAAGGTGTTCTCATGTACAGCATCCATGATTTGAAGCCATGAGGAATGTGTTAAGTAGCTGACAATGCTTGGTTGATTAATAATTATTACCTACTTAATATGACTTTATTGGTAAACTCTACACAGATGGTTAGTGTGGGATAGAGACGGTCAGTGAGGTGAGGCTATAGAGCTAATCCATAATGTTTCTAGATAATGGGCTGTTTATTGTGTTTAGATTAGACAATGACAGATGTGTGCGTGGATGTTTTGGCATGCTACAGTAACAGCGCATTGGAGATTCCAGTTTGTTGTTCATCAGATTTACCGCTGCAGGAAAAGAAAGCTTTCCCTTCCAGTGTCATGAATGAATGAAACCGTGTTCAGTGCAGACACTGAGTTACTTGTACAGCTGCAGCTCTTTACAGATTGGGTGTGTAGGGAATACATCCCTAAGGGCCTGACTGGTGTACTCTAGAATGATCAGTTGGAGGCAGAATGTTGTTGAAATCTGTGAAGTTGTAATATCTTGTTTGTGTGACCAGAGCTTCTCCTTTCTTTTTGCTTTCACTCCACTTCCTGCAAGTCATTACTTATCTTTGAAGTGAACACTTTCACCTTGAGTACTAGCCATCTGCTTGCAAGAAGTATCAGTGTGGTGTGCAAACAGCTTTGGCTAGAGCATAATCTGAGCCAGAAATGATGGTTAACTCTATGGAGATGGTTGTGTTCTGTGCCATTTAAAAATTGATGATTTTTTAGATATTTCTGGACCAATTTCACCCATGGCACTTCATTCTTCATTTAAATACAGTTAAATCTGTGCTGTCACCATATGTTACTGAGGCTGCAGCCGGCAGCTCTTCATGTGCCATGTTCAACTACTTCTATAATCTGCTCATTGCTTGCACCTGTATATTGTATTCACTGAGACTGTGGATGACTATGCCTCACCCAAAGAAAATTAACAAGATTAACATTTGGGGGGCTAAGTGGTATGAGATAATTGCTAGAAATAACTATTTTTGTGAAGATTCCCTTCAATGGACATGTGACGAGGACATAAGATACGTAACAAACAAACAAAAAAAAACCACAAAGAACCAAAAGAATGTGTTGTAGGAACAGGCGCAGGTGCTAAAAGCAGTCTTTCCAATGTGTCCTTTTCTAAATGTACATTTGTTTTACTTGTTTGGTATTTGGTTTTAGATACCGCCTCAGATCTGCTTCTAAAACTGGATATCTTTAAATGAAGAGAACTACAGAAAAAGGCAGGTGGATAGCTTTTTAATTAGCTTGAGCTGGATTTCATAGGACATGGCCCATGGAGCACACTTGTAGATTTCAGAGATGTTCATCTTTTAATCTCCATTGTTCTTGGTTATCCATTGCAGTGGAGTTGGGTGTAAGGAGTAAAGGGAAACTGAGTTTCTTGGAGGGGCAGGGCATTGTATTCTTGAATTTGTTTAGTTTGCCCCTTTCTTCCTGACAGGTCTTCAGGCAGGAACAGCATAGGTCTTTCTCTTGTACTAAGTAAAGCGATTCTACACGCTTGATGGGGTCGACATACTCTTCTTTTTTTGACTCAGGGAAAGGGTTTCTTTCTGCATTCAGTTTCTGGAGCTTGGGAAGCGTTTTCACACTGTTTGGGATAGTGGTCAATAAGTTGTCAAAGAGACCTAACTCCTTAAGTTCCTTCAGGGCCCCAAGTGTGGGGGGGATGCTGTCAAGGCAATTCAAGCCAAGATTGAGAATGCGCAGGTTCTTTAGAAGGTTCAACTCCTCTGGCAGGTTTTTGCTGGTCAGCTTGTTGTTACATATATTCAGGTAGAAAAGATTCTGAAGTGTACCTACTGTCTTAGGCAACTCTTCAAGCTGATTGCTATGCAGGTCCAGCCAGCGCAGTTTCTGGAACTTCTCAATGCTGTTTGGGATCTTTTTTAGCATGTTTCTGCTCAAATCAAGCTCATCCACGTCAGCCAATTTTAGAATGCATTTGGGAAAGGTAGTGATACCCATCTTACTTAAGTCAAGACGGCGACCTCCATCAAAAGAGATTCTGATGGAATTTTTTGCAGTTTTCAACGTAATTTTTTTTCCTTTAGGACCTTTTCCTTTGGCCATCTTTCCTCAGAGACAGACAAACACACCAAACTCTGGAAGAAGTGGGGAGCCCCAGCCTTTGAAAGCAGTGACTGTTAATTCCTAATTAAAAACAGAATAATGTCTTAGTCATCAATTAACACATGATTGTAAAACTCATCAGAAGTCTTTTTTTTTCCTTTTTTAAGCTCATGACTTTTCAACCCTTGAGCTGCAACTTTGAAAGGCTTTCCTGAAAACATTTTGAGTAGGTGAAATTCTAATTATTAAAAATATAATTTTATTGCACCGTGACACTTGCATTGCTCTGTAAAGCAATATAAGTATTACAGGATGAAATTAAAAGTATTACAAGTGGGAGAAATTTGCTGTCTTTCATCCCTAGATACTGGTTTGAGCCCAGCATGTAATGAAATCGAATGAAATACGTTATCCATTTGCTGTATAAGGACTCAGGTGAAATATATTATGGGTCTCAATGCAATCCTTGAGGACAGCGCTAAATGAAAGCATAGTTGTACGTATTCTAGCAGACCAAAAGGTTACCTTTTTTTTTTTTTTTAACATTCCTGGCATCAGGGGATAGGTTGGTTAAGTGTCATGTTGAATGGACCTGAGACTTTCAGCTCAGGACACTACTGAAAGAAAAACTGAATGTTTAAAGCAAATGATCAAGAGTTTTTCTTTAAGTGGGATCTCAGAGACCCAGTTGGCTCACAGATTTGCTAGAACTGGTTGCAGTTCACATATTTTTAGTAGGGCAGACTGAATAGAGGCTGCGTCAGTGCTGCTTATTGATAGGTTAAGCTAGGTCTCAGAGTCTCTTAAGCACAGACTCTGATACTTCTACTTTGTTGTTCCACACATGTTGTAGGATAAATGAATTCCCATGGTGAAAGTGCTTTGTCCTCTAATAATGCATGTAAGGGTTCTAGTCAGACTTGTCAGCACTGATGCTAAATACATACTATGTACCGTGAATGGGTACCGGTGTGAGTAGTAGTCCACTGTAGTCTTAGGGTTGGTAACCTGTCTATATAATTGAACATCATTAAATATAAATAATAGTCATAGCTAGTGACAAAGGGTCCCCTAGAAATGAATGACTCATGCTGAGAGGAGCATGGGTTAAGCTGGCTAACCATAGGATAGTCTGGGTGCTCTTGCATTTAGTTGTGAAGAGGTAAATTGCAGCTTTGATGGGAGATTGATTGTGACAAAATATGGATTTGTCTACAGTACATTTCCCTATTAAAAAGGCTTCATTACAAACCCTCAGGCTCTTTGGCTACTCATTAATCATGTGCAAATACATGAAGGGATAGCTCAGGCTACAACGAAGGCATTTCAGCTCCTTTCAATACATGCCATAGCCAAAAATGATGCAAAAGCAAAATGATCTCTGCCTTCCCAGGAGCTCCATAATGAGGCAGTCGCTCCAGGAAGCAACGCAGTGGGGTCAGTCTTGCCCTGAGGGTATGTTCCAAAATTGACTCTTTCTGATATTTTTTTTTAAATCGTTTAAAAGGGTAAAACCTACAAGATTCTGTCTCTCACCAGTAATTACAGGGATATATTAACATTATATCCGAAGGCCACTCACCCTTTTCTATATTTAAATTACTTCTCCAGGAGCAGTATCAGTGCTATTTCTTTCATAGTATAGACTGGAAACTGAAGGAAACAAGAAATTACAGTGGAAAATTAAGCATTTTGTAAATGTTAGCTTAAATAATTTGCCCAGGATTGTGCAGGAACCAAATCTTTTTTTTAATTAAAATTCTCATATTTTAAAGGAGTTGATGGAAAAAGATCTGCAGGACAACTGCCTTAGGCTTGGGCAGGCTGGAGAGAGATTTTCTGCTTCCTGAAATTTATGTGAACTTGGCAACATTGAGATCTGACTTTTTTTTTTTTGCTTGAACTTCTTGTCGATGTTGGACAAGTTGATGAAAACATTCAGCTTTAATCAGTGAAGGGTTTTTTTTTTTTTTTCAGCTAAATATGCCTTTAATAGAAATGGAGTTGGACTCAAGAAAAAATATTTGTTTTCTAAATTCAAAATTATAATCTTTTAAAATACTTTTAAAGACATCTTTAAAACTCTCAGGAGGAAAATATTTTGTTCAGTTCCTAGTGATTTTTCTGAAACTTTTCAATGAAAATCCTGAGGGTGAGGAGCGTTTCAGAGTGGGGGGAACAATCGATGGAGAGAAGGTTGCTCTACTTTCATCCCAAACAGTCGTCTTAAAATAAAATAAAAATAAAAAAAAAAAAAAAAGAACGCACAACCTTTTATTCTGTTAGTGCTGGTTCCCAGAGCTGCTGTTACTCTGTGCTGTGTACACCTGGGAACACTAGAGGGAGCCTGGTGTGGACATCTGAGTGCTGGAGGAAGGCTGGTCAGGAATAAGAGCTTAGTTTAATCTTTGAGGTACTTCTCCACCAATGACCCTTACTGACTTGTTAAAAAAATATATATATTAAACCTAGGTCTTTCAGAGTTGTACAAGTCCAAACAGGTTAGCAATTTTCCTGAAGACAGACCACTTAATATGAGGCACTGGATAATGGCTTTCATGGATTTCAAACCACCCTGGACAGTTCACTTTAGTTGGATTTTTTAAAATCTTACCTTGGATTCTACCTCTCTGTCGTGCTCAGGTAAACGTTTCCAGGAGGTGTGCTCACACTATTGAGGGGCTGTTTGTTTTGGGTTAAAAGTGGGATCCAGGTTTTAAAATAACTTTTTTTAAAAGTGATATTCAGTCCCAGAGACGAAGATCAGCGTTAGAGTTCTGAAGCACCACTGCAGCACGCCAGCTTGCAGAGCATGAATAGCGCTCTCATCTCTGCATGCCTGTATGCTAATTATCAATGTTTTGCAGGGTTGTAGCTGGAGATAATGGAGCTTACTTAGCCGTGTCTCATTTTCTTCAGCTTTGTGTAAGAGGGATTCAGTTCTGTAGCCACTGATATTAAAAATTCAGGAATCACAGGAGCCCTCCTTGCTGTAAATATTAATTATGCCCATTTGATCTCCAGCTCACAGTGCATCTCTGGTGGTAGTAGAGAAAGAGGTATGTGTATACCCCACTGCCTAAGAAACAACGGTGCCAAACAGGAACTTCACTTGCATTTGACTTTAACCCTTCACCCTCTGAGCTGCTGGGAAGCCTTTGCCCTTGGACAAGATGCTGCATTTCTAGTTGATTGAAGACTAGACCATGAAGACTAGGGTTGTGAGCCAAGGAAGGCTTGCAGATTACTCCTTACTTGCACAGGACCCTGCCATGACCCATTGCAGTTTAGGCCTGTCCTAGGAAGCAGATCCAGTGCTAGAAGAATGCAGATTTGGACCCTGGTGCAGGCTCAGCATTTCTTTTTCCTTCCTCAGCATAGTGCTGGCAGGAAGAGATGGGCTTTCTGCCCACACTGTCTTGGGTGCTTCAGGATTTCCTCTGGGATTCTCCCTGTTCTTTTCCTACTGTGGGTTGCTGCTTCCTACTTCACTGCAAACAAAACTATACAGAGTCATCTCAATTCCATCTTGAACTTGCATGTGGAAGAGTTTGTTGTCTCTCTCTCCTGGAAGTTTGCATGTTGCAGAGCAGCAGGCCTGCCCAGTCCAGCAGAGCCTCTCTGGGATCAGGACAGTGAGGCAACATGTTCTGGCTCAAAAGAAACCATTTCACATTCCAATTTAAAACAGCTTTCATACAGCAAATGATCTTGCATGAAGCCAACCAGTTTCAACTAGAGGACCATTTTATTTCCCTGCTTATAATCCTGTTACCATTTGTTTGTTGTTGGATACAACCTATTGTGGAAGAGAGATTAATTCCCTGACTATTTTAGATGCAGTCTCTTGCTAACAGGTTGTTTGAAGCTAAATCCTAACAGGAACATATATATACTGAGCATTTTCCTTCTTTAATTTTCTTACTTCTTTAGATTGTTTCTGTGCTATCAACATGTGCAAGGTCACTTATAAAACCAAAACCCACCCCACCAAGGATATACAGAAGTACTGCCTCATCTCAGCAATTCTGCTGCCCCCCTGCTTAAGATCTTACCAGCTAGCAGAAAGGAAGTCTTAAAAGCCGTGGTACCGATGTCACAAGCTGCTGCTTTCTTTCAGCAATGTGAGATGAGCCTTCATGGTCTGTTACCGTGCAGTTTTCCTCTGGTCTGCTCTTCTGTGAGAAATAAATTTGTCTTTCGGTTGGTAAAGCAGGGGAACACAGGACAATTTCCTTTTCAGAGGCCTGTAAATTTTTAATTGGACTTCCTTGAAGGAAAATGGCAGGCCTTCAAGAAACTATTGTGTATATGAGTTTACTGAGGGGAAGAAGAGTTGAAAAAGGACTTCCCTGGCTACAGTGCCTCTGCTCAGTTCTCTGTCTGTAGCCTGTAAAACTTTTGTTCCTAAGCAACAGCAGTGCTAGGTCCTTGGAGATCATTAGCATAATGTGTGGTTCCAGCATGCAAGTTCAGGCTGGAGGGAAAAGAGCTGAACTGTATGTCGTGTCTGGAAATGTTAGACTTCAAATTATGCAGAAAGAAAAAGCATCTGGACCTGGTTAGAAGCTATTTGTCAGCTTTCTGCCTTAGCTGTCCATTTTAGTCATTTGACTATTTCATTTTACTTAGCTATAACTCAGTGTGAAATGCCTGTGTGTATATTTTAGAACTCCCAACGTTTGTGATACCATCCATAGCATCTGTCAGACTGAGTAGATACAGAGTAAGAGGGAAAGTTTGTTCTGCCCTGAGCTGCAGCTCGCATTCATCTATCTGTGACCCTTCAAAAGTGCAGTTGCAACAGTTTCCTCTTGTATGATGTGAGTTTCCTGGAATTTTTTTTTTGTATGGCTGCAGTTCGTGATTTTAGTAACTGTTTGCAATTATTTCAGAATGGTATCTGGAAAAAAAGAACTGAAGAGATGCATCTAATGCAATCAACCTGTGAGTTGACAAGTGAGATCTCAAAGCTCGGAGAGAGCATCCGATTTGAACCACCAAGGCCCAGAAGAATGGCTGTTTCAGGGTTTCAGGGAATGACTACTCTGAGCCTTGCGTGTTCTCATAAGGAGATGAACTTTATATTGTACAGTAGTTTCCACTTAGAGGAGGTTGCTTTGGCTCTTGAAGAGTAGTTCTTACTGGGTTAGGGCTTGTGACAGAGCAAGATGTCCAATAGAAAGAGGAAAATGGCACGCACAAATCAATGTATGTATATTTGTATAGCATGCTCACATACTAAGTCAGTTTAGCCCTGCCTGTAATGTTTTAGTTCCCTACCTTTATAATACTCCACTATAAAATACTGGAGGACTGATAAACTGAGCAGGTTTCTACATGACATAACTCCCTGCCTTTTAACTCAACCATAAATCCAAAATAAAGCGGGACAGTTTTAGTGAGTGTGTCTACTTTTGTGGGAAGGGAAGAACCTAAGTTGCTCCTTACCTGACAAATATTCTAATCCAGTAACACACTGCTTGGATTCCTGATCCTGTACCTTCCATGTGAGATGCTCTGAGAGGCAAATAGCCATTGGAGACCTTACAAAGGCCAGTGGAACAAAACTCAGTAAAACTGTAGTACAGTAGTTCTGTATTGTAAAGGCCCATAGATGTGTTTTCCAGTAGAGAATTCCTATCTTCTTGAGCTACTTATGGCTCAAAGTGGGGTGCAAAACCAACATAATTCTACTCCAGTCAGTAGACTTTCTCCCATTTTACACTGTGTAAATTAGAACATCATTTAATCTCTTGGTTTTTTTATTGCTGAAAAATGACAGAATGTCTTGGGTTGAAAAGGAATTGAAGATCATCCAATTCCAACCCCTGCTGTGGGCAAGTTTGTCACATAGCGAAGCAGGCTGCTCTGAGCCCCATCCAGTCTGGCTTTGGACACGTCCAGGGATGGGGCACCCACAGCTCTCTGGGCAGCCTGGGCTAGTGCTGTTTCTTCTTTGAAGGATTTTCTTCAAATATCTAATCTAAATCTCCCTTCTTCTAGTTTAAAACCATTCCCCATTGTCCTATCACTATCTGCCCCTATAAAAAGTCAGTCTCCTTCCTGTTTGTAAGCTCCCTTTATGTACTAATTCCTTTTTTTTTTTTTTCAGACAAACAGTCAAGGCCCCATCTTCCCATATTAGATATGAATAATACCTTTTTGTGTTTCCTGCTTGTTATAAATATAACCTATCATTGTTTGGTTTTATATGCTGAACAGGAAAACTAATCAAAGCTTAAGAGTTGTAGACCATGAGCCAAAATTGGTCCAGGGTTCCACGTTTGTTCATAAAATAGGTTCTTCAGACTGTGCAAAATCCTTGCATCAACTACCTACCACTCTACCTCTAGCAAGAATTCCTAAGTAAGGAATAAAATACTTTATTGAGTAAACAGTACCATTTATCCTTAATGTATGCTATTAGCTGATCTGAGACTGAATAGGCAGTAAAAGAATGATTCATAATCATGAGATGAAACGTCATTTACAAGGATTTACTGCCACAAATTCAATAAAACTGTAATGATCATAGACCATCCTAGTATTTTATTTAGGTCTTTGAGACTGCTTTGAGACTAGCTTTGTGGACTGTTAGTGTGATCCAATACAGAGCACAGCTTGTTCCTGTAGTAGTTCTGTCTTTCGTGACTGAACTGATTCCATCACGCTTCATGAAGTTAGTAACTTCGTCTCTGAACTGGCAGCTTAGCTTTGGTGTAAAGCTATGTACTCAAAAGGAAAAGCATCTTCCAGCTCCAGTTATGTCATATCGTGTCACTAAACTCTTTATTTTGGCAGAGTCTCTTTAATCAAGAAGCCATCACCTGTCTCAGTTTGATTGCCTGCAGCTAGTAAGAACAAATCCATGCCCTTCCGATACTAACACACCTGATTCAGCCCAGCTGGAGTGTTACTTTTGCCTCCTCTGATCCTTTGACCCTTCTACCTTTTCAAATACATTTCCCTGTTTAGAATTTGCCTTCAGCTGGTTTGTTTTGATTTAAAACTTCAGTAGAAGTTGCTCTGAATTTTGAGAACAAGGAAAGTGGAAAAAAACATTTTAAAAAATTGTAAGAAAAAAAAAAAATCAAACCAAAAAAGCAACAACACAACAAACTACTTTTTCAAAACTGCATTAGTTTAAAAGTGCTTCATGCAAATATAATCTTTGATATGGAGAATGAGAGACCTTTGTTTTCAGCTGTCCTTCTGTTCCTGCTGCAGGGGTATCTTCTCTCCCCGTTTGGCAGTTTCTGAACTGTTTCTGAGTTATCGTACTTGAGGTGATATTTCATTCAGAAGCAATCTGGCACATAGCTTAGCACTCTGTGCAGTTAGAGAGGCTGGCATGGTAACCTCATCCGTCACCTGAAGCTGGCCATCCCTGTTCATCAGGCAGAACCTTGCCTCCTACTGAAAGTGATAATGAAACTGGGATCCTGCCGTGCTAACATAAGCATTGACACTCTCTGATTTTGAAATGATTTGGTCTCTGTTGAAATCTCAGTATTCTTATAGTGTTGTCATAGGATGAGAATAGGGGCTCAGGGAGCACAGGCATTAATGTATTGACTTTCTCTTATGGTTTTAAAACAATTATTTCAATCAAATATCTGTTCCATACAGGAAACACTCAGGAGGAGAAAAAATAATGCTCCAGAAGTGGCAGGTAAACTAAATCTTGTCTGCACATGATTAAGCTAAGATTTTCATTACCCGTGTGTCCACTCACAGTTATATATTGTGTGTTTATGTGCTTCAAGGCCTAAGCTATTCTCTCACAGCTGGAGGTGAGGATATTGGCAAGACGAGCAGAGTATTTACATCTGGTTATTGCAGAGGTTTTGCTCTTCCTGCTGTGAAACATATGGCCAACTATCTGACAGATTGTGTGATCCTATGCATGTTTTAAAATGGAGCTCAGAAATAGCCACCTAGTTGAATGGCAGATCATCTAAATCAGTGTATGTCTTTTTGTCTTCACTGATTTTATACTGAGCTGAGAAATGCACTCACTTTCTTGTACTGTTCTTGGTGGTTTGAGGCACACTGAAGAAATCTATATCCTTTTGATTATATGCAGCACCTTGTGAATCCTTTCCATGCAAGCAGTTGTCCAGGATTTGCAAATACACAGATTGTTTGCATTTGGTTCTTCCAAAATCCAAAGTTCTCTGTTACTTAAATACCACATAAAAATGTGGGTTGATTATAGACATATGGCCTGTCTGAAGAAGAGCCAGAAGAAAGACTTAGATTCTGTTGAATGGACTGTGGCATAAGAGCTGTTGTGCTGATCTGAATGGCAATAGGTGATTGATTACACAATGTTTAATGTTTATCCTGGTGGATGGGGGAGCTATGAAGCTCTGAGGTTGCCTCTGGGGCATGGTTTTCAGGGGTGGAGTTAGGAGATTTTAATGTCTGCTTCTTTTCCTTGACAGAAGAGGGAGATCAGCAACTTTGATTACCTCATGTACCTGAACACACTGGCTGGCCGCAGCTACAATGATTACATGCAGTATCCTGTGTTTCCATGGGTCCTTGCTGACTATCACTCCCAGGTCAGTGCATGCTGCTTAGTGGGACTCAGTACTTTCTGTAATTTGTTACGTGATGCTACTGTAGTAGAAGGGCCTAGACCAAAGATTCAAAACTTGATGTAGTGAAGTCAAACTGTATTATTTCCAGATTAGCCTTGTCTTCAGGTCAGTTTGCAAAGGGATGTGTTCTGCCTCAGTAAGGTGGACAAGCACCTGTTATGTGCATACCTATGTAAGTGAAGGCTAAGCTGACTTTGCAAGTAGTCAGGGGCAGGCTTCTATCACCTGCTAAGGAGATCTAGGCAGAAAAGCCTAGAAACATGCCAAGACTTTTGTTCAGTACCTGGTAGGTCCTTCATTTGTGAAGCATCTTGTACATGCTGTCTTTTCAGTGGCATATGTTGCCATTCCATTTCCAAGTACCTACAATACTGAATCTGTGACAGCCTTGTACAGGTGGAACTTCTAACCAGCTCTGCCATAATTCAGTATCACCGAGATGGTCATAATGCCTTAGTCTGTGTTATAAAAAAAAATCCCATGTTTGTACTTTTTGTGTATCAGACTCTAAACCTTAGTAATCCTCACACATTTCGGGACCTGTCAAAGCCAATGGGAGCACAAACTATGGAGAGGAGACAAAAGTTCATTCAGCGCTACCAGGAAGTGGAGAAGAGCGAAGGTAAGCATTTTAGAAGGCTAACAGATAGCAGAGGCTTTAAGGCATGCTTGTGAATCCCTTGGTCTTTCAAAACTTTGGTCATGGGAAGCATTGTACCAAGGAGGTTCACTTGCTTCTGCATACAGAGTGCTTGAGGATGGAAAGAGAAATGGTTGTCTTGCAAACGTTTCTTTCCTACGTGCCTTAAACTGCTGCATTCTGTCCTCTTCCCTTGGGCAGAAGGCTATACAACAGCAGAATGCAGTGTCTGAGGAAAGATTGGTCTGTTAGTGAAGTTGTATGTATCAGTTTTCTCTGATAGCTAAACTGCATATAGAAGACTGCTACGCGCAGTACAGCTAACGACAGCTACAGTAAGAGGAGGAAACTGGGCATTGAAACTATTGACCTCTGGAGATTTAGACTAATTCTCATTACTAACATGTTGATATAAGAGGATAAAGATAAAGACCTTATTCATCAGAACGTGAAAGGTGGCAGGCAAAGCAGAAGAATACACAGATGGTTGTTCAATGGATGTTCAATGCAGATATGCAAGGTGTGCTTTTTGTACATCTTTGAACGCATCTACTTTAAAGAATTACTGAATTGAGCCATAATAAATTAGTGTTATAGACTTGAAATGGTGAAATTTTCCATTGAAATATGATTGTGTCGAATTTCCAGGAGACTTGTCAGCCCAGTGCCATTACTGTACTCACTATTCCTCAGCAATTATAGTGGCATCTTACCTGGTCCGATTGGAGCCATTTACACAGACCTTCTGTTCTCTGCAGGTAAGGGGAAGGTGGCTTCTATCTTACACCTCCTTAGTTGCTGGAACAGGTTGCCCAGAGAAGTTGTGGATGCCCCATCCCTGGAGGGGTTCAAGGCCAAGTTGGATGGAGCCCTGGGCAACCTGATCTAGTGCCTGATTTAGTGACTGGCAACCCTGCTCATATCAGCGAAAATTGGAACTAGGTGGTCTTTAAAGTCCTTACCAACCCAAATGATTCTGTGATCACGGAGCACACAATGATGACCATGTAATGAAGAGAGATTCATTCTTTTAGCATCTCTAGCCTATTCTGTATTGGACTCTAGGTTAACTGAAGGCAATGTGTTGTGACTACTGAATTCAATGGAAACATTTTAATGGAGCAGAATGATGCAGAAGGGTTATTTTGTTTTGGTTCTGTGTTGTATTTTACGATTGCGGAGATATTTAGCCACAAAGTCAGTGTTTTACTATCGCTCTGAACATTGCCTTCTGACTTTGGGGCAGATGCACTTAGAATACCTGTCATCAAAGTCTCAAGTGCTCATACAATAACATGACTATTGGCAAGCACTTGGAGCTGGCAGAATGAAGGCTCTGTCTGGAGTACGACAGGAGTCATGAGAATGGTGTATCTGAAGTAGAAGTAGAGTGAGGTAGATCTAGTGCCCCAGAAGGAATATTTTGATTTTACTTGTTCTGAACTTGGCACCATTTTTTTTAAACTTCCCATGGAAACTGAGCCATGCATTTGCCTTTCCCAGCCAGTCAGCACACTGGGGCACCAAATTTCCTGGCTGCTCTCCTGCTGTCGGTGATGCAGAAGCAGGACAACTTGGGCTGCAGCAGACAGTTGTTGCTCTCATTTTTGTAACATGTTTTGTTATAGCAGGGTCTACCAGGAGGACACACTGTCAAACATGTAATTTAAGAGATCTCTTGTTGAAGTTTGCCTCTGTTTA